TTACAATGTGCGGCCGAAGTTGGGCAAACTGCGGCTGCGATAGTGTCAAGGGGCTAAGTAAAGCTGCGGTCCTTGACACCAGGGCTAAGGACAGATTCAAAAACATGTGGCTGAGGTGGCACCACCTCAGCCATTGATCTGAATTGCAAAATTCAAATGCAATTAAAATCAAGGCACCTCAACCACCTGTTTTTGGGTCTGTCTTCAGCCTTGTTTCAATAGCAGAGCTCTTAATTGTAAGCAGTGAACCAAATGTTGTATAGACCAATGAGTTTTACGTTTGAAATTAAATAGCACCATTTATATTTTTTCCTACATAAAATAAAACAACAATTGTTTCCTATGTCGATGATTACTTTGCTTGTGTTACTTTCAGAAGCAAAAGCCAAAGTATGCGTTCTTAATTTAAATCGTTTTAATAGAGAAAACTAAATTAGAAAGTAAATTTTTAGTTTGATATTAGTTTTAACGTTTGCCAATATAAGATAGTTTATGTTTTGGCTACAAAGACAGCAAAGAATCGACTACCCAATGCACTCAATCCTGGAATAATTTTGGCAATAAAATTCAATTTCACATAATTCCCAATAATAATCTCGGATCAATTGAGCAAAAGCAAGCTGAGCAGGAGTCGAAAGAGAAGAAAGCAAGTGATCTTGGAAAAATTTTGGATACATACATATCACTACCGATACCTATGAATACACGTAGATACTGTTAGGATTTAGGATTCTATATTAAAAGATCAACTTTATTAAAAGGAGTTGTACAAACCTTTATATATTGGTCTATATTTTGATATTTAACAAATATGAAATTTATCTCTTAACATATATATACACCCTTAATTTTTTTTATTTTTTTTTTAAAAAAGGGCTCAAAATTAAGAAATTTGTGCCATCAATGCGAAAGGAATTTAAGTTTTACCCCGTTGAGGATAAATATCAATTATACAAGATATAAAAGTATGTTCAAACATCAAAATTTTAGAACGGTGGAGAGTGGCGGCAATGTGTTTTTATTTTTTTATTTAATTATTTTGTGTGGGAAATATGAAATTATTTTGAATTTTTTAAAATAGATAAAAATATAGTGAAAGTCATTTTTTCTTGTCAACGATCAACAAATGGATGAAAAGCATTCATTTGTTCTACAGCTGCAAGCAATTAAAAGGTTTGGGAATGTGGCGGCCACAAATGAAATGTTAGAGTAAAAGTTCCAATTAAAGTGAAAAGTTTGGAACTGTGGCTATAATTTTCCCTTAAGAAATTGTAGAATTCTTGGTAATTTTTTGTTATTTTTTTTAATTTTTAGTTAAATTGTGCCGCTATGAAATCCTATTTCTTGGACTCTATCAAATTGGACGATAAAAGATGAGCTTCACTAGCACTTAAAGTGATGTTAAAAACTTTCGATGCTAAATAACGTTATTCGTACTAATAACCTTTAAGAATCCACGGCCCAATAGAACCATCATATTCTTCCTATAAACATGAATCATAATGTGCTAACATTATACAACCAGCAACAACGACTGTAACCCAATTATAATAGAAATTACATAAAGCACTAGAATCATCATATTCTTTCGATAAACATATCATTCATGCTTGATGTACATCAAGTTTGACAATTTACCATGTGAAAGACAAAGGCAATGTCAACAATAATGTAAAGGGTATGATGTACAAAGCGCAAAATCCTAAGCATATATCCACCTAGGGATTGTAAACGGATAAAACTGCTCACCTGCTCACAGGCTTGGCTCTTCTAAATTCGATCCATGAACCACTCAAGCTTGTATAGGGATTAATTAAGAGTTGAACCAATCAGCATAGGGATGGCAATTCGAATAGTCAAAATCGAAAATCGCTGTTAACCCAACCGAATGGGGCGAAAAAAATCGAACCGATGGTGCAATGGGGCGGCTATGGTATTTGATTTTAATAAATCGGTTCGGTGCGGGACGGGTATGGTATTTACGCCATCGCCCTAAACCGAACCAATTAACCATTAGAAAAAATAATAAATTAATAATTATTAGGCTTTCCATAATTTTTTGATTTTTTCTATATTAATTACTTAATTTCTTTGGCTCAAAATTTCTAGGCCATTAACAAATTAAATTTAAACCCAAGTATCCAACCATAAACCCTAACAGTCTAACACAAAGGCACAAACGTTTTATTGGAAAATTGGAATCTCAGCTCCTGCCTTCTGGGTCTGCCGAGTGCCGACTGTCGTCTTGTCCGCCTCCGCCCGTTTGCATTATTTTCTTTTTCTTCGACCTTCAGGCCTCTGCCACTGGTGAGCTTCTCATCTTCTCTTTTGATAATTTGTATTTGTTTATTTGAATTTGTTGTGAATTTCGCCCAAGATTTGGTCAAAGTATATCCAGAATTTTCAGTTTTTTACAATTGGTAGTTGCTTTAGAGATAAATGACTTTAATTTCTCTCCTCTTTGATGACTTTTGGCTTAAACAACACATAAACAAGAAATTGAATTCTTTAATTACAGAAACCAAAGTTTGGTGACGAGGATGTTGACGAAGAGGTACATTGTTTTTGTTTAAATCTTTAGTTAAGAACAATATGGATTATTGATTTATTATTCTACTTACATTTTTCATATACTATATACGAATCAACTTTGAGTTTTGACGTATGCTAGTAAGAGTTGTGGGGAAGAATGAAAATTGAATATGAATTGAGGTTGAAGGTTTTTGAGTTATTGAATATTGTTTGTTAAATTTGGATTTTGTCTTTGAGAATTAAGATATTTTTTGCATTTTCATTTGAGATGTTGTTTGCTACATTGACTTAGTATCATGTTTTTGTTTTCATTGACTTTTTTCATACATTTTTCTTTTTATTCGACGGATGGACCAATTAAAAATAATTTATTTTCGTAGTTATTAACGACCCGAACCGAACCGAACCGACTTTCATGATTATGGTGCGGTTATGGTATGGCAAAAAAATTGATGGTTCGGTGATGATTTTGATCGAACCGACCCTGAATCGAACTGTTGCCATCTCTAAATCAGCAAAACAATTTCACGAAATGAGCCTTGCTCAACTCATGGGCCTAATATTCTTTTTTAAGGAATTTTTGTTCATATAAATATCCCCCATTTCATTGTTCTCTAAATCTACCATTTCAATATTCTACAATATGACTTTTGCAATCTTTAGATTAGCAATTAACTCTTCTACTGTGCAACCCTGGATTTTATTATCAATGAATTTACTTGTTTGAGTTATTTCTGTTCAATTTGACCTTTTTCCTCCATATGCTATTTCAGTTCCAAGTGGATTACAGCAGATTGTTGGGTTTAATGACTTCAACGAAATGTTTGGTGCACTCTCGCCCTGCCACTAGGTCACGATGATCATAGACATGGGAGAACAAATTCAATTGATTTAGATGACACTGAAAAAGATGAAACACGAACAATAGTTCAAGCAATAAACAAAGATCAAATAAAACAAACTATAAGTGGTGGTAACAATTCAAACTAGTTGTCACAAGTGCATTAAACGGAATGCCGCAGAAAAGCACAATGTAAATACTACAAAGAAAGATTATCTGCACGAATCATCGATCTAAACATGTACAACAAAAATACATAGTCAAACACGAAAATTTGGACATGAATTAATCTCAACTCCAATTTTATTTTCTGGTGGTGGAAGTTCTAGTTCTGGTCTTACTAGTTGGGTTCATTCACAAGAAGCAACGAGTGAAGGTATTGTGATGTTTGTTGTTAGTGGTGAGTTTCCGCTTAGCATAATGAAAAACGATCACTTGACCAAATTCATAAAGAAATATCTTCAATCCAAGTACGTACCCTATGCTAGATCTGGTGACTTTAATATATGCCAAAAAATGCCAAGACCAATCAGGTTAAGGCCAGCATGGAGAATGTTGTGCTTAGTGTGGCTGTGCATAAGGAACAAGTGAAGAAGTGTGAGGTTAAGACCATTGAGATCTCAGTTTAATTAAGCTTGTGGTCTGTATTATGCTGTGGATCCATCCCAACGGAAACAATCAACTTAATCAATCTTGAATCTTGTGTTACGAAGCTTTGTACATTTTTTTCTTTAATATTGTCTATTAAATAGTATTCTAAATGTCGCGTCAAGATGGTAGCACCACGAGGCATGGCGTTTTTGACCTATGTGCTAATTCAACGGTCAACGAAACTGTTGACTACTTTAAAGCACGCCCTGGCTCAGCTTGGAGTGCAGCATTATTATTTTTTTACACTATATGAAGTTTTCAACTTTTAAGCCAATTGAATTAAAAGGCCCAAAAAGTAATAATTATAAATTTTTCAATTTTTAGACCAATAACTTTTACACTTCTCTAGGGATTTTGCTGTAAACTTTCGATGTGGAATATGAATTCCTTTGATTTGATTGTAGTACATTATACCTTTGGTTTGGTTGTAATGCATTGTACATTTGGTTTGACTGCAGTGTATTGAACTATTATATAAATAGTTATTTATATTTTATTAAGTTAATTAATTATTTTCCTAACTTTTACTTATTAATAAAAATTAGAAAGTCTCCAAATATTTCAATTAACACTATTATAATATATATTGTTTATTGTTTGAAAATATATTTATTTTGTTAAACACTTAAAATTGCATTTGGTACTATAATTTGTATGTATTATTAAATAATTTTGAAATTGATTAAAATTTTAAAATAATACTAAAATAAAAAAAAATTCTTTTTACGTCTTTTTACGCCTAAGCCTCACTTATGCCCGTACTGACTGAAGCTTGGCCTCCATGCATCACTACGCATTACGTTTTTTAGAACACTGCTATTAAACATTCTTTCAGTTCGTAATTGGTCCAAAAAAATATTAATAGTTTGTCGACAAAAACCCAGCAAAAATATTGAAGTGCATTTTTTTGTAGGGTTTAGTTTTGATTGCATATCGACAGTACATATGACTGGGAAAATAGAAAGAGGATCACCAAATTCATAAAGCCCATCAAAGGCCCAAATCCCTCATTAGAATCACTACTGGTGTGCAGCTTCAGTTGCAGCCTCCAACATCATATCTCACAAAGCCCATCAGCTCAGGCCCTTCTAATCTTGAGTTATTCTTAAAACTGCAATCAGACAACAAATAATCAATCACTTCTTACATTAAAGAATAACATGTTTGATACACAGCATTAGATCATATTAAACCGTAGACTGTACGAGATTTTAGTTTCATTCAATTACCTGTTCTCAGTGAACTTAGAAAAGGAGCCGGTTGTTGGAATTGTACCACACAAATCATTATTGGACACATCTCTGCATGTGAAGAACAGGTTAATTAATTTGTTTCTAAACCTGACCAAAGAAAAAGTGTTTTCTTTGTTAAAAATTCTTGGCTTATTTTAAATTGAGTACTTACAGCTTCTTTAGTTTTCCAAGCTTGCTAAGTTCCCTCGGTATTCTTCCTGTCAGCCTGTTGTTATTCAGACGCCTAAAAATCGGCAAAAACTGCTGATAAGGTAGATTAAATAGTACTAGACAGTGTCTGATCTGGTATTAAGAGGTTAAAAAATCGAATCTGTTCGAGTACTTACAAGATTCTGAGTTTGGAGAGGTTGGCCAGAGATGGAGGGATGGAACCTGTGAGATTATTTTGGTAAAGATCCAGGCTTACAAGATTCTTCAATTTTCCTAGTTCAGCAGGAATTGGACCCACAAAGCTGTTCATGTATAATTCCCTGAACAGCAACACCAACTATATTAAAAGTGCCATTATGTGCCAGCAAAAAAAACTGAACTGGACCCCTCTTAAATTCACTTTTTAACGTTCTTGATTCACAATGCTACTTGTACAGAATTTTTTAACGGATGGGATTACAAGTGCTGAGATGGCAAGATTTTGTTGGCTGGTTTAACTTTTTTATTTTTTTAAATTTTCCATTTTTGTCCAAAATGGCGTGAAATCTTACTAGCTCAGCACTCCATCTGTAAATCCATAAACCAGTATGTACAAGTAGCTTGGCCCATCCAGTGGGGTTAAGCCATTAATCGTTTCTTGGTTTTTCAATCTCTGATTCTGAAGCATGGAAAGAATCTGTACTCACAAATATTGAAGATGCTCTAACTTCCCCAAATCAGGAACTAGTTTTCCCGATAGCTTAGCATTTCCCAGGTCACTGCAAAAAATAGAACAATTAGAATCGTTATATTTCCGAATTCGTTTATAAGCAAGAAGATAATACTTACAGTCTGGTGACCCGGTTTTGAGCATCACAAGTGACATGAAACCAAGTACATGGATCCACCAGGGTCGGATCCCAGCTCTGTAGAACATTTTCTGGGTCATCAACTTCTATCCTCAGTTGGAAAAGAGCATTCCCTGTTAACCAAAAAATAATTTCAAAACAACTGCTAATCATAAAGAAAACAAACAGATCTTAATATACTCTCTCACCTTCTAAATTTGCATTTGTTTGCCCTAATACAAGGCAGAGAAAAAGATGAAAAAGAACCCAAATGGCCATTGTTTGAAGCTTTGGGGACTTGCAAGTGAAGATTTTGTAGAGAAATTTTCTTGTTTCTTTTTAAGTATGGAAGTTAGCAGGGAATAAATAGAGCACTTTGTTGGGAATTTATAGAGCCAATAAAAGGACTGACTACTGATTGTGGAACCAAAGCAGTGTAATTTTGCAGTTAAAGTCCCCAAACTTTGCCAATTATAACACATGAGTCTGGTCCCAGATAATTTTTTTCAAGTACAAGTGAGTCATCATCAATGATAGAAATCGTGAACTCTGGAGACTCACATGCTTTGCATGTCATCTCTTATTTGAAATTGTTTGGAAAAGTTAAGAAGAGGGGAAAAAATAAAAAAACAGAATTCAAAAAGTGTAAACAAAAATAAGTGACTGCTTAATCATGAGATTGATGGTTTTCATTCAATAAATAGAAATTAACTTGAATATGGATTTTATTTATAGTTATTTACCCGTTTAAGGGATAAATATTGAAATATAATTCAAAAAATATAAATGAAAACAGGTGACTGCTTGATCATAAAATTGACAACTTTTATTCAATAAATAGAAATTAATTTGACTTTGAATTTCATTTGTCATTATTTACCTGTTTAGTGGTTAGATGTTCTCCGCATAGCATTCAGAAAGTATAAATAAAAACAGGTGACTGCTTGATTTCGAGAGTGACGATTTTCATTAAATAGATAGAAATTGACTTGAATTTGAATTTTGTTTTCCGTTATTTACCTATTTAGTGGTTAGATATTCTCTGCATAGCATTCAAAAAGTATAGATAAAAGTAGATGATTGCTTGATGATTTTCATTCAATAAATAGAATTAACTTGAATATGAATTTTGTTTGTCGTTAACATAATTCAAATAGAATATATTGACTGCTTAATCAGAACATTGACAGTTTTCATTCAATAGATAGAAATTGACTTTATTTTAAGTTTTACTTGTCTTTATTTACTCATTTGGCGGTTAGATCCTTTCTACACATAGCATTCAAAAGCATAAATAAAATAGATCGATGCTCGATCACAAGATTGATGATTTTCATTCAATAGATAGAAAAATAGAATTGACTTTGAATTTTACTTGTCCTTATGTACCCATTTAACTATTAAATATTCTATGCGTAGCATTTAAAAAGTATAGATAAAAACAGGTAACTGCTGGTCACAAGATTGACAAGTTTTATATGATTAATAGGGATAAACAACACAAAACATACTTATCTTTCAATATCATTGTGTAAAATGTCATTATCTTTCATTTTTTGGCATTTTCACCCCTATTTTCACCTTTCATTGTGCAAAAACGTAATTTTCATCTATTTTTCCAATAAAAATACAATTCTACCCTCCTATTCAACTAAAATAAAAAGAAATGAAATGAATAATTGCAACAATAGTCCAAAAATTTAAAAAAAATTACAAATTAATCACAAATATATAATTAAAAATCAAAAGTTAAAAAAAAAAACAAAAACAAAACAAAAATCATTCATCTTCTTCCTGTTGTACCATGGGAGCTTGCTACTAAACGAGAAACTTTTTCTATAATGAAAAAATTGTCGATGCTCTTTCACATCTGTATCTCCCTTTCCTCCTCTCCACTTTTCCACATCAACTTTTTTCCCTCTCCGGTACAATTATACCTACACGACACATGTATACGTCTGCAAAATTCTAAATCTGGGTAGATTTTGGATTTCATCTTTCTTTCATTCAGAATTTGTTCATACAAAAATTAGAACCCAAAAAAATGCATGCAATAAAAGAGAGAGTCTCGGAAACACTTTTAAGATTTTTTTTTCAGACTCCCCATCATCTCAAATGCCAGATCAAGAACCTGGGGTACCCTTTTTTGGTTTTTCCTTTGAATCCACGGAATTATGTTAATATTTGATTGAATCTAATGTTTGAATTGATTGTGAGATTTTTTATGATTTTTATTAATTAAAACTGTTTCTTGTGTCTGATCTGTAAAAAAGAACATTGTGGGTTTTGGATACAATGTGTATGTAAATAAGTTGAATTCTACGAACACTTGAGAAATTTTTTTAGCTGATGATGTTAATTGAGTTGATAATTTGATTTCGTTTGACATGCTAATAGACTTAATAAAACAAAATCAGCTAGCATTTTATATTTTATGAATTTTAACTCATTAATTCGGTAATGTAAATCTTCGTTTTAGCAGCAAGCTCCCATGGTGATAAGGAAGAAGATGGAGGAAGAAGATGAAAGATTTTTTTATTTTTTATTTTTATTTTTAATTATATATTTGTGATTAATTTGTATTTTTTTTAGAAATTTGAGACTATTGTTGCAATTAATTTTTTATCCTTTCATTTCTTTTCCTTTTGTTGGTAAAATCGTCTTTTTATTGGAAAAATTAATGAAAAGGACATTCCGCACGATAAAAGGTGAAACTAAGGGTGAAAATGTCAAAAAATGAAATGTAAGACATTTTGCATAATGACATTAAAAGGTAATTACCCTAATAAATGGAAACTGACTTTAATTTGAATTTCGTTTGTCATTATGCATCCATTTAACGGCTAGAAATTTTACAGTGAACAATATGACAAAGAATCATTAAATATATAATAGATCATTATTTTGATTTCTCATTTCAATTTAAAATATCATTTTGGAACAAATAAAAGTAATAAATCAAAAAATATGATTGAGATAATCGGGTTGTTTGGACCGGTAATAATATATCCTTTGGACTGTCGGGGAACATCTCACGCTTGTTTATGTACATTGTCGGTGTTTTAAATTTATTTTATAAAAATATTAAAAGATAATAGAATGGGAATGCCGACAATTTAAAGAACGTAGAGACCTGGGAAAATTAAGAATTTAAAAAAAATAAAATCATGGATTAACCATTTTTACATACTGAAATTTCGAATTTCTAGACATCGTATCACTGCAGTTCAGCCAGCAAGAGACCAATGCTGTATATTATAACTAGTGTTCAATATCAATCTAGATTTTTACAACGAAAGACAATTAGATAATAATTTTATCTTAGTGTTGATGTTACTCAATAATGAAAATTAGTAGAAATCATCATAAGTTTACGTTGCACTGGAGCCCCGATTTATAGTTCAATATATTAAAATGCATCACACCTTCATTGGACAATGAATCAAGAGGTAACTCACTGTCACCTAAACTAATAAAGATATTTATCAATGATAGATAACATTACTCAGAAAATGATCTCATGCTCAAGGCTGGTAATCGGACTTTTCAAACACTATTTACGGAGAATTTTTCCGAACCGTATAATAGTTAAGTTAGTAAAAGATGATAGATAACCAAAATAGTTAAAGGAGTATAAAATTGGATTTTTACCTAAACTTTGTGAAAGAAGGATTATATATGAATTAGATAGAGGACTTAAAAAATTTGGGAAGTGATTGAGTAGGATTTGAGATTAAATGGGCATAATTTGGGATAAGAGGGAATTTTCAAATGAGATGATCATGCAGCTTGTTAAAAGAAAATTGTTAGTAATAAAAATCATAAGTTAACTTTTTCTCACTCAACACAAGTCTCACCTCACATACTTGAAACTATATTATCTAAGAGTAATGTTATTTATGGTCGCTCACTGCGATAATCGTTTTACGTAGCATTCTACATAACGATTTGTGATTTCATGTATTAATGTGGTAGTTTTTTTATTGCTTTATATATCAAATCACTAACTGTTACATGTATGCCACATAGGACAACTGTAATGGTGAGTAATTGCAAATAGCATTATTCATTATTTAATGTGTTGAAGCGGCCATTAGTATAACATGATAGCTTTAAGTACTATGTTATTTTTATCCATCATTATACACGATATATATGGTTTTATCCTATCAAACAAAAATCCAATGTGACAGATGTCTTTATTTGATTTAAAGTTATTGTGGAAAAGTATTTTGACAGCCATATAAAGACTTTATATTCGAACATTCGTGGCGAATACATCTTTCTTTCTCATTTTCTATCAATTAATGCTATATCCCATTTAACCACACCACGCTATATCCTCGAACATAATGGTCTCGTTGAGAGATGACACCTTCACATTGTTGAAATCGGTTTAGCATTATTATTTCATGCCTAGCTTCTCTCTACTTATTGGTCTCACACTTTTGCTACTGCTTCTTACTTAACATGCCAACACCGACATTGCAACACTCCTCACCATATGAAAGAATATTTAAAATTGCTCCTAATTAAGCCAAACTATAAATTTTTGGTTGTCTATGTTACCTCTAGCTATGATCATATAGATCTCACAAGCTTCAATCACGCTCTTAAACTTGTGCCTTCCTTGGCTACTCTTTAACTCAAAGTGCTTATTACGGTGTTGATCCTTCAACATCCAAAATCTCTATCGCTCGCCATGTCTTGCCATGTAAAGTTTGTCGAGTTTGTGATCCCTTCACTTATCTATCGCATCAAGCCCCTTGCCCTCTATCGCAAGCCATCACCACTTGGTTTTCTCAACCACTCTGAGTAATCTTGCCATCTAAGTTGCGGCCACTCCTCACACCATCTAAAGTTATAGTTTTCCAAGCATTCTCCCCATAATATCTCCTTCTTGATAGCTTTACCTCCACCTTCATTCAATCCTCTCCCAACAATACCCAACCGTCACCTACTCCTCTTGATCCACCCATAAAATCTCATTTATCTACTCACGATAGGGCCAAAAACAATTTTCAAGCTCTAAAAGATGTCAATTGGCATCGAGCTATAACTGAAGAGTATGATGCTCTAATACGAAATGGAACATTGGAGTTAGTTCCATCTAATTCCAACCAAATTCTTGTTGGTTGTAAATGGATTTTTCTAACTAAATATAAATTGGATAGCTCTATTCACGTGTTTAAAGCTCGCTTGGTAGCCAAGGACTTACGTCAACGTCCTAGCATTGATTACCATGAACATTCAGTCATGTTATTGATCTAACTATCATCGTATTGTTCTTAGTATAGCAGTTAGTCGAGTTCTGTTGATTCAGACAATTCATCTTATGTATGGAAATTCCACAAAGCCATTTATGGCCTTAAA